GATGAGGAGGAGAGGCAAGGTCGCCGACACCTGGGGTGGCGGTTCATCATGGGAGGAAACACTGGAGGAGATTCGGTATCCTCCCGGAAGAAGTGGAAGAACATGGTGTACCTGGCCGAGGTACAAAGGCCACCGCTGCCTAAGCGAAAGAAGAAGGAACCTCTGATCTTTACAGACGAGGATTATCCCCCAGTCCTCAATCCTCACAGGGACGCTCTGGTGATAAGAGTGGAGATCAATAATGTGGTTGTTCACCGAACCTTGGTCGATACGGGCAGCTCGGTCAACGTAATGTACAGCAACACCTTTAAGGACTTGGGATTGTTCCGAAGCGACCTGAAGCCAATCCATACGCCGCTGTCAGGATTTACAGGGGATACTATCGAAGCAGAAGGAACTATCACGGTAAAGGCCGGGGTAGGAGATGGCACCCACCGACTCTGGGTCGACATCGAATTTATGGTAGTACAGCTCGACTGTGCACACCATCTGATTCTGGGACGACCAGGGTTGGAGGACCTGGAGTGCGTAATCTCCCCCGTCCACTTATGCCTAAAGTTCAACACTCCCACAGGGGTGGGAGTAGCAAAGGGGAACCAGAGCCTGTCACGGTCGTGCTATGTCAGGGCGACCAAAAGCCAAGCCCGAGTCGGCGAGAATGTGAGCACGATCTGTGCGGCGATCCAGAAGGAGGAGGGGCGACCCCGAGCTGAGCCGGCGGAAGAGGTCGAGGAAGTTTCTTTGGACCTGGTTGAGCCCGAGCGGAAGGTGAAGGTAGGCAAAACCTTACCGCTTGAATTAAAGGAGCAGTTATTGGAGGTCCTCCGAGCATTCAAGGTGCTATTCGCTTGGGGACCAGAGGATATGCCAGGGGTCGACCCAAAAATCATCTACCATAGATTGGCAGTGGATCCGACCCACAAGCCGGTCAAACAGAAGAAGCGTTTCCTTTCCGCAGAACGGAGAGAGTTTGTCACCAAGCAGGTGACCACCCTGCAGTCCATTGGGCACATCCGGGAAGTCCGCTACCCGGAATGGTTGGCAAATGTAGTCCTCGCACGCAATGGGAATACCTGGCGGATGTGCGTCGATTACACTGATCTAAATAAAGCTTGCCCGATGGATCCTTTTCCTCTCCCCAACATTGATCAGTTGGTTGATGAGACGGCAGGATGTGAGCTGATGAGTTTCATGGACGCAATCAGTGGATACCATCAGATCAAGATGGCAGTGGCGGATGAAGAAAAGACCGCTTTCATCACCCCCAATGGGGTATACTGTTACAAGGTGATGCCTTTTGGCTTGAAGAACGCTGGGGCGACCTATGCACGGATGGTGAACAAGCTGTTCGCGCCAGTACTAGGGGGGTGCATGGAAGCGTATGTGGACGACATGATTGTCAAGTCCAAACGGACGGAGTCTCATGCTGGCGACCAAGAGAGAGTATTCAAGATCATGAAGAAGTTCCAGCTTCGCCTTAACCCCACGAAATGCACATTTGGGGTGCAGGGGGGTAAATTCCTAGGACATATGGTCAGCCGGAGAGGGATCGAGCCTAACCCGGAAAAGGTAAAGGCGATTTTGGAGATGGAGCCTCCGCGAAATGTAAAGGAGGTCCAGCAGCTCACCGGCAGGATTGCTGCTCTCAGTCGTTTCTTATCAAAGATAGCTGATCGAGCGGCCCCTTTCTTTCAGACCATTAAGAAGAGTAGAGGGTTCGTTTGGACTGAGGAATGTCAACGGTCTTTTGAGGGGTTAAAAGCATATCTCCTCTCCCCACTAGTGCTTTCGAAGCCAGAGCCCGGAGAGACCTTATTCCTATACTTAGGAATCTCTCCTCGAGCTGTGAGCTCGGTGCTTGTGAGGGAGGAGGAGGGCGCACAGCGACCTGTGTACTATGTGGCCCGAGTGCTGCGAGGGGCGGAGT